CCGACAGCGTGGAGATGTCGTCTAGGTCCGAGAGCCCACTGCTGACACTGGTGGTATAGACGCGGCTCAGAGGCTCAGGCTCATCCTTGGCGCCTCCGCTCTGCTCCTGGCTCTGCTGGTGCTTCTGCACCTCGGCATAGAGGCTGTCCCGCTGCTTCTTCGACATGCGGCCGAACTTCACCGCTGCCGGGAGGAGAGAGCAGGGTGTCAGGGCAGCTTCCACCCCGCAGAGCATAAGCCGTGGCCACCCGCCTGCCCTGGGACAGGTGCCGGCTCCTGGAGGAGTGGGTGGTTTCATAGAATCACATAATCATGGAATGGTTTGGGTTGGAAGGGACCTTAAAGCTCCTCCCGCTCCAACCCCCTTCCACTAGAGCAGGTTGCTCCAAGCCCCTGTGTCCAACCTGGCCTTGAACACTGCCAGGGATGGGGCAGCCACAGCTTCTCTGGGCACCCTGTGCCAGCACCTCAGCACCCTCCCAGGGAAGAGCCTCAGAGCTCATCTCAACCTCCACTGTTTAAATTTAATCCCATCAACCTTCGTCCTATTGCTCCAGTCCCTGATGAAGAGTCCCTCTACATCATCCTTGTAGCCCCCTTCAGACACTGGAAGCTGCTCTGAGGTCTCTACACAGCTTCTCTTCTCCAGGCTGAACAGCCCCAATGTTCTCAGCCTGTGTTCATACGGGAGGTGCTCCAACCCCTGATCATCCTTGTGCCCTCCTCTGGACTTGCTCCAACAGCTCCATGTCCTTATACTGAAGACATCAGAACTGCACACAGTGCTGCAAGGGGGGTCTCACGAGAGCAGACGGGCAGGATCACATCTTCTGACCTGCTGCTCACTGGTTTGGGTGTGTATGAGTCCTGAGCGGGGCAGGGGACCCACTGGGTGCACCCCCCGACCCAGACTGACTCTCGGTTGAATGGAACAGAACCAATTTAAATATTCTCATGGAAATGCAAAAGCATTTCTTGCTTCCCAAAACCCTCCTTTCACCATGGTGGAAGCAGCTTTGGCCCCAACAGGCCAACTCACTCCAAGGAATCAAGAACAAATAAAAGTAAATAAAAGTAAATAAAAGTAAATAAAAGAATCAGCCAGGTTGGAAAAGACCTTCAAGAGCATCAAGTCCAGCCATTCCCCAGCACTGCCAAGGCCACCACCAACCCATGTGACTGAGGGCCTCATTTACACAGTTTGGGAACACTCCCAGGGATGGTGACTCCAGCCCTGCCCTGGGCAGCCTGTTCCAATGCCTGAGCACCCTCTGGGCAAGGAATTGTTCCTAATTTCCAGCCTAAACCTCCCCTGGTGCAGCTCGAGGCCGTTTCCTCTTGTCCCATCCCTTGTTCCTTGGGAGCAGAGACAGACCCCACCTGGCTACAAGAAGAAGCTGCCGGGGCAGGACTCACCGTCGCGGGACATGCCGAGCGCCAGGCATTTCTGCAGGCGGCAGTGCTGGCAGCGGTTGCGGTTGGTGCGGTCGATCAGGCAGTTCCTCTGCCGGGAGCAGGAGTAGCTGGCGTTGTTCTGCTGGCTCCTCCGGAAAAATCCCTGCACAGGACACAGACGTGTTGGGAAAGCGCCCGGCGAGATGCCAGCCCCACGGCTGTGCACCCACTGGCTCCCATCTCCAGGCAGCCCTGGGCTCACCTTGCAGCCTTCGCAGGTGATAACGCCGTAGTGGATCCCTGAGGACTTGTCTCCGCAGATCTTGCACGGGATCACTTCGATTTGGGCTGTGGCGGAGGGGAAAAGGAGGGAAAACCACAGTGTTAATGATGGTCACCACTGAACTGAGCGAGGGGGACGCCCTCCCGCTGGGACAACGAGGGAAACTGAGGCACGGGAGCTGGAGCTGCTGCAGCTCAGCCCTGCCCGCAGACCCTGCAAGGATGCTCAGGCCTCAGAGAGACCCTTTGCAGGGTGTGGGGTACCCCCAACTGCTTCCCCATCCTCTCCAGCAAGAGACAGGAAGAAAAGCCTTTTGATCCACAAGAGCACAGGGTGTTTGGGGACCATTCTGCCTGGGACCTCATTTTGGAATCATTCCCCTTATTTTTCAGTGTGAGCACACTGTGGGGCACCCAGGACAGGGACATCCTTGGCACAGGCACCACTCCCATCCCATGGCTCTCCTGCCAGAGGTCTGGCCCAAGCAGAGGGTCCAGGGGCCCTGTTGCCCCCCCTGCCAGCTCCCCTGAAACCCGGGACTGATATAGCCATCACCAGCTCAAGGTCCCGGTCCCCTTCCCCCTGCAAATCCGCTTCCCTCCTGCTTCTGCTTCGCTGGCACTGAGCTGCTAATAGGCTTCGTCCTCCTCATTTTCCAGCTGCCCCAGATCTGGGCTGCCTCTGCCCGCCCCACACATGGGGGGGGGGGGCCATGGGGCCCCCCCGGC